AAGCTAATACGACCTTTTTGGAAAGAAGTTTGGAGAACACTCAAGGAACTAAAAGTAGACCTACTGTTCGATCCTGCAATTCCACTACATATATACCCGGATGATCAAAAATTATTTTACAACAAAGACATTTGCATCAGAAAGTTTATTGCAGCCCAATTCATAATAGCTAAGACGTGTAAACAGCCCAAGTGCCCCTGGACCACGAATGGATTAACAAATTGTGGTATATGTGCACCATGGAATACTATGCAGCCATACAAAGATGGAGACTTCACATCTTTTATGTTTACCTGGATGAAGCTGGAACATATTCTTCTTAGTAAAGTATCTCAAGAATGGGGGAAAAAGTATCCAGTGTACTGAATATTACTATGAAATCAATATATAATCACCTACATATTCATATGAATGGCAAAACATAACTGTAGTCCATAAAGTAGAAGTGAAGAGGAGAGAGGGGATGTGGGAGGATGGAGGGTATTTGGGGGGACCTTACATAATGTGTATGATGCAATGGTACATTTCGAAACTATTAAGAAATGAGTATAATTGTGATGGATGTGTTACTTAGTTCAGTGTCAGCATTTCACATTGTATATCAAAGCAGTATCCTGAACCCCATAAATGCATCAATGTACAAAGTTATAATTTAATAAAAAATAGTAAAAGTAAATAAGAGACTTCAAAAATAAATAAGTGATGACCATGATTTTAAATTAGAAGAAAACAAACCAAAAAATATATATATATAACATATACAAGTACTGAATCTTTTATGTATCCTAAAATATTCCTAAAATATAGAAATTATGAAAGATTGAGCAGGATAGTGAATTTGTGATTTTTTTTTTTTTTTGTTAGAGACAGAGTCTCACTTTGTCACCTTCAGTAGAGTGCTGTTGCATCACAGCTCACAGCAACCTCCAGCTTTTGGGCTTACTTGATTCTCTTGCCTCAGCCTCCTGAGTAGCTGGGACTACAGGCGCAAGCCACAACGCCTGGCAATTTTTTTGTTGCTGTTTGGCTGGGGCTTGGTATATGGGGCTCGTGCCCTACTCACTGAGTCACAGGCACCACCCGAGAATTTGTAATGTTTTCTTATTCCATCGTGGTGGATTTTCCTTCCCACTTGAGTTTGGAAACTGTTGTTCAAGAGCAGTCTCTGGACCTAAATTTAAGAACTAGTGTTCTATTGTAAGAACACCCTCTTTTCATCCTTTATTTTGTCAGATATCTATTTTGGAAATTACTTTCTCCTAGTCTGATTTGTATTTTTATTTTTCTTAACCATGACTCTCAAAGAGCAGAAGTTTCAGGCCCAATTTATCAATTTTTCTTTTATGATTTATATCTTTTTAACATTTTTTTTTTTTTGAGACAGAGCCTCAAGCTATCGCCCTGGGTAGAGTGCTGTGGCATCGCAGCTCACAGCAACCTCCAACTCCTCTCCTCAAGTGATTCTCCTGTCTCCGCCTCCCAAATAGCTGGGACTACAGGTGCCTGCCACAACACGTGGCTACTTTTTTGTGTGTGTAGAGACAGAGTCTCACTTTATTGCCCTCAGTAGAGTACTGTGGCATCACACTGCTCACAGCAACCTCCAACTCATGGGCTTAGTCAATTCTCTTGCCTCAACCTCCTGAGTAGCTGGGACTACAGGTGCCTGGCACAGCCTGGCTACTTTTTGTTGCAGTTTGGCTGAGGCTGAGTTTGAACCCGCCACCCTAGGTATATGGGGCCAACATCCTACCCACTGAGCCACAGGTGCTGCCCTATGATTTATGTCTTTTTATCTGTGAAATCTTTGTCTAAGTAAAAGTCATAAAAAGTTTTTACTACAAATTTTGTTCCTACTGTTTTCTTCTAGAAATTTTATTGTACAGATTATACTTAAATTTATGATTCATTTTTGTTTATAGTGTTTAGGTGTGGGTTACTGGCTTGTTTTTTAAAAGTATATACTCAGTTCTAGGACTGTTTCTTTTCTTTTTTTTGCAACAGAGTCTCATTATGTCACCCTCAGTAGAGTGTTATGGTGTCATAGCTCACAGCAACCTCAAACTTTTGGGCTTAAGCGATTCTCTTGGTCAGCCTCCCAAGTACCTGGGGCTACAGGCATTCACAACAACTCCCAGCATTTTTTTTTTTGTTGTAGTCATCATTGTTGTTTAACTGGCCCGGGCTGGGTTTAAAACTGCCAGCCTTGGTGTATGTGGCTGAGGCTCTACCCACTGAGCTACAGGCACTGCCTCTTAGGACTGTTTCTTGAAAATGTCCTTTCTTCATTGAATAACATTGGCACATATATCAAAAATCAAGAGACCGGCTCGGTGCCTGTGGCTCAAGTGGCTAAGGCGCCAGCCACATACACCTAAGGTGGAGGGTTCGAATCCAGCCTGGCCCGCCAAACAACAATGACAGCTGCAACCAAAAAATAGCCGAGCGTTGTGGCAGGCGCCTGTGGCATCAGCTACTTGGGAGGCTGAGGCAGGAGACTCCCTTGAGCCCAGGAGTTCGAGATTGCCATGAGCTGTGATGCCATAGCACTCTACTCAGGGGGATAGCTTGAGGCTCTGTCTCAAAAAAAAATCAAGAGACCATGGATATGGGATCTATTTGTGGTCTTTGTTATCTGTTCCACTGATCTCTTTTACCTTTCATCAGTATCTCCCTATCTTTTTTTTTTTGCAGTTTTTGGCCAGGGATTGGTTGGAACTCACCACCTCTGGCATATGGGGCTGGTGCCCGACTCCAGAGCCACAGTCACCACCCCAATATCTCTCTATCTTTGTTAGAATAGCTTTATACTATATCTTTAAATCAGATAGTGTGAATCTTCCAGGTTTGTTCAGGGTTCTCTTAAGAGGTTTCATTATTTCACATATCATTTGTTTAAAAGTATTAACATGTCTAGTTAAAGCATAAATCTTATACCCTAAATATCATTTACACTTGGAGCAATTTAATTTTTTGGACATATTTCTATGTATGTTTAGAACATCTTAAAGATTATACACAGTCCTTTGCTAAAAACAAAAAACATTTTTTTTTCCTTATTGACGTCATTGTGGTCATTATACCACCAGATAAATATGGTTGCTACTTGATCCTAGTTTTGTTTTCTTTTTTTTTTTGAGGCAGAGTCTCAATTGGTCACCCTCAGTAGAGTGCCCTGGAGCCTTAACTCACAGTAACAGCAAACGATCCTCTTGCCTCAGCCTCCCAAGTATCTGAGACTACAGCACTGCTACAATACCTGGCTATTTTTTTAGAGATGGAGTGTTGCTCTAGCTCAGGCTATCCCAGTTTTTAAAAACTTGCAAGTAAAGCTATTTTAGTGGTATAACAGAATATTCAGTGTATTTGGTTACCTTGTTGGCTAAAAGTCAGAAATAGCTATCATAGTGTTATATGGAAATTATAGAAAGAGAAAACTCAACCCCTGTGATCCTAGTAATTTTTGCTTTCTCCCTGTCTTAGGGATGATAGAAACAGCACAAGTGGATGAGAGAGCAAAAGGCAATGGCTCTAGTCCACCCGGCACCGCAAGGCGAGGCGTACAGATCATTGACGACGAGCCCCAGGTGCAGAGCGGAGGTGGAGGGTGCTGTTCTTCCGGATAACTGTTCATGCCTGAGAAATCAGAACTGTGGATCATTGCCCTCAACATGAAGACTGCCATATTCCAAGTCACGTTATTTTACCAACGGAGTTATAGAATTAACAGTATTTTAAATTACATTTATAACACTGCAGAGACCTTAAGTGCTAAACTTAATGGAGTTTGTGACCAGAGAATTGGCATTTTCTACAAATGTTAACAAAGCAATTACCAATGGCCTTTTTACATATTTTTTTCTTTAATGAGGAATAATATGCATGTAGAAAAGACCTACTTAAAGGCTTCATTTATATTCTTTTAAATCAAATCTTTATTTAATAACTTATATATGTTGTTGGAATGGTATACATTTTTGCAGCCCTTTGTATTTTGTGGTGGTTTGAATTGTATCAGTCCTAAACAGCAGACTGTTTTCTTTTTGTTTTTTTTTTTTTAAATTAGCAGATACCTGAAGTACTATTTTTGCAGGGTTTGCACAGGCCCCTAACTGTCTCCTCTACTACTTTGATATAATCTGTATACATCCTGTATGCTGAGCTGGTAAAATAGATTGTAAATTACATATTAAATATTTTATCTGCTTTTACACGCGCAAAGTGCAAAAATATATACAATAGTCTCATTGATGACTGTAAAGTGAATTAACATTTGATGACAATGCCTAAGCTTTTTGACTCTGATATAAAAATCATAGTTCCCTTTCACTTTTGTCTTAACGTGGCGTGTTTAAATTTTCACACATACTTTACTTGAATTATTGCTGTTGTCACATATTTTGCCTCTGTAAGTCCGTCTGGTGATTGAGCAGTGGTATTTGTCTTTTGGCTTGGGTTTTTTTTTTTTTTTTAATTATTTGTTTTTATGGAAGAGATGACTTCTGCTGGTTTTCCTTTAGGATGGTTGGTTACATTGGAAGAATTTGAGTGAAGCATACTATGTTTCACTTCTGCAATAGCTTTAGTTTTCTGTTAGGCTTTATATGAGATGAGTTCACTAGTGTGGGGAGAAAGAGATATAGTGGCTGCTCACCAAGACTGATTCATATAGCATGTTAGTGAAACAGCTGCTCTGAGGCAGCCCTTTCACATCCTTTGTGAGCAAGTTCTATTTGTACATTTCTTGCCTGAGATGAGCACAGAGCATTCTGTTTTGTTTATAAGAACTGTCTTTCTGAGTTTCTGTGGAGAGAAACATTATGTGTAATGCAGTTATAGCAAACACTGGAAAGATTTATTGTGGAATTATATTCTTGTATACGTTATTAATTAGTCCCTCATTAGATTTTTTTCTTACACATAGGACTGAACTTAAATTTGTTAATTTTAATAGAATCAGGCGCTGCTCACAGAAGGAACACAGACTGTGGAAATTCACTTAAATTGTTCTTGTTTAAATATATATATTTTTCCATTTCTGTTATGCTTGAAAAACTAGTAAATGTTCTGTCTAAGATTAAAATGGAATGGTCCCTGGATTTACTTCTTATGAGAAGCAAGTCATATGCAATAAAGCTGTTAACCTGAGCAATTAAGAGGATCTGAAGAGGTTATAGTGACTAAAGAAGTACTACCATATTTTTGAGTTAATACCTTAAGCTTTCCCAAGTGGGCAAAAGTTGAATGAATTGACACCTTGATGTTAGAATTTTAATGTAGTATTAAGCATTCTCTGAACCCATATTTGACCTTTTTAAATTATTGTCCTTGCTAAACTTACCACACTGACCTCTCTGTTCTGTTTGAGGAGCATGAGGTGGGAAAAGTCAGGGAGACAGAAGCTGAAAATGTCTTCTAAGTGGGATGATGTACTCTGTGTGTTCTCTTGATTTCCTGCGAAGTTAGTGTTTGTGTATGGGTAGGGGAGGAGGCAGGAAGACTTGTTTATTCTCTCCTGGCACTCTATTCAGACAGTGTGAAGAAAGCTTTCCCATTCTTCCTGTAGGTGGAGATGCGAAATAATCTCTTCTCATTGAAGTGAAATAATGTTTTTTAAGCTAGGTAGAGAGCAAAGTGAGCTTATTCCCTCCAAATAAGTTATAAAACCTGATAATTAGAGAGCTGTACTTTAATTTTGGCCCTATTTTAATGGTATAAAGTCCAGATAGGAAACTGCTCCAGAGTTGCCAGGTAATTATTGGCGGAGTGTAACTATTCTCCACATATATACATACATATATATATATATATATATTTTTTTTTTTTCTCCTTTGGTTTATGCTCATCTTTCTTAACCTCGAGCATTTCATTCTTTTTTTTTTCTATTTAAACTTGTAACTCAGACTAATTCAGTGGCAACAATAGATGCTATGGTATGCCTCTGATCCTTTTAAAGCCTAGAAGGTCTTTAGGTAGGAATAGGGTGAAAGGGTAAGGAAAGAAGACCAATCAAATGCAGTATGTATTCAAAAGACAGATAAAGATGATAAACCAAGGCTGAGGACATTTTTCTGATATTTTCTTCTTCTTGCTAATATACTTTTTGTGTTCCTATTCTGATAATTGTGGTATTAGGAAGAAGATAAGTTATTGTGTTGTGTATTAAAAGTAGTAGGTAGATAGAACCAATATTTTTTTTAACTAGTAAAATATTAACATATATAATTATATAACTTAACATACATAATTAAAAATTGGGTTAAGATAGTCATTTAAAGACACCTGAATATTATGTTAAAAGTATACAATCATTGTTTCTGTACTAATGATGGGTATTCTTATTTTGCTTTGTGATGACAGGGGAAGATTATTGTTTTTTTAAATGTATATTGCAATGATTTTGAGGTAAATAGTATTCAGAAAAGAAAAAAGTATCATGTTATTGTATGAAATATGAGTGTTTGAATTTGTTTTGTCTGGGGTATCTCCTGAGAATACCCTAAAACTGTGGTTGTTATGTATTGAAATCTTTTTTTAAAAATAGTAGCCATATATTATTAGTGGAATACTTTTATTTGGCATTAAAGTAAGGAAAAGAATAGTTCGTTTTTAGATGTTTATAATAAAGGATGAAATTAAGGAAGTAGAGAAGGAGGAACTGGAGAGTAGAATGGAAGCCAAGCAGATAGAAAACCCTACGACCTGATACGTTTTCAGATCACTCTGAAGAATACAGTCCTTTTATTGAAGAATTTCTAAATAAGGCAAACTACACGTTGTGCCAAATATTTAGAACTTTTTTTAAAAAGTGGATTGTAATACTATTTATTTCTTTTAATACGCATAATGTGTGATCTTCTATATTCTACGTGCTACTGGGAATCTAGATCACTGATCTTATATCTTGTGGCAGTGTAGTTTGCCCTTATAATTACCACTATCTTATCTCTAAAAGTAGTACAATCTGTGCCTTTAACTTTGAGAATTTATCTTGTGACTTCTGTTTGCCATTGTAGATTTCACAGTTTTCTTTATAGATATGTTATGACAAAGAGGGAATATGTCATTTGTGACCATTTAAGATGTTGAAATTTTCTGGACAGGGAGTATAGTAGTGACCAGTAGGAGCTTCATAATACTGTCTGAAAATACAGAAGCTGCGTAAATCCTTAAGTACTTTTTTTTTTTTAATTACGAAATGCATAAACTAGATTTTAGTAATTAAAAACCAGAATTCATTGAATTACATTTACTTGATTTCATAGTAGACATTGATTTTAGTATGTTTTTGTTCTCTTACTTGTAATCAGCGATAACAGAGTAATATATTTGGTGTTGTGACCAAAAGTCGTGCTTCACGAATGTCTGACTTTGGCCTTTCCCTTTTTGAGGAAACAATTACAGTGTTGAACAAAATCTTTGTAATTGTAAGTACTCCAGTAGTATCATATATAATGAAAACAAAATTAGAAATACTCTAAATAGAGTTTCCAATTTCAAGCAGAAATGCTTCTTTTCTAAATAAATACCTCTTTATTTGATAAACTTTTAGCACTGCTTGTGCTATCCAGGAATTATATCTTATCTCTTCTTGAAAACTGCTTTTGAATGTGAACCTTTCTACTGCAGCCTTTTCTTTTAAACATGGCGTGTTAATGTTAAGCAGCATCCCCAGTAAGACTTTTATTCTTAAACCATTTTGTCCTCTTTGGAAGTCTGCAGATATTTCTGAATGCATCACATTAAAGCTTCAAGTCAGGCAGTGGGGTTGCTTACTGAAATGCCTTTATTTCCACTATGCCGATTCTCACTCTTGATTTTGATACTTCCTGGCAGCGGTATCATCTCTTCATTATCAAATACTTCATAAAAAGCTAATAGGATTTTCTTAAATTTTAGCATGTGTACAGCAGTGAGAAAAAGGTGAGGGGTTGCAAGGATATAAAGTATGATAATGTTGAAAAATAGACATTCAGCAATGATATTCAGCAATAGTATTTGCTGAAGTACCTTTGGTAGCGAGCTGTTTTAAGGAAACCATATGTAGTACTTCCTAGAAATGTAAAAGTTCCTTATTTTGTATTTAATTATATACATAAGCATACATTCTAGGAAAAATAATAAAAAGTAACATATTGTCAAAGTGCCCTTTGTGCCCCCTCCCAAATAGTAACTATTGCTCTCTAGAATGTATTCCTCAAATACTTTTTTGCTATCCATTAGTATACCTATATATTTACATATGAAATTACATACTTTTGTGGGTTTTAAATGTTTGCATAAATTGTCTTTTACTAATATATGTTCTGCAACTTGCTTTTTATCATACCAACATGTATAGGAGCTCTTCAGTAAATACAGACTTTTCATTTTATTCCCCCCCCCCC